CTTGGTGAATCGTAGTCACGCTCCACTTTCACAAGCGGGTCAAACAGAATCGGGCTGCACGCGTGCTAAATACAGCTTAAGGCCCGTTCACACTCTTGCGACTGCTTGCGACCTCTTAAACCTGGGTTCCTTAAAACTTCTTAAACCAGAGAACACACTGGCGCCATCTATTGGGAAGCAGTGTAAACTCGGCGGTCCGGCATATTTTTTTTTTTTATTTCTCGAGCAATATCCTTTCTTTTTTGGCTCGAAAAACTTTTGTCAATGTTATAAACGAGCCTTTCTATGGGTATTACGCACTATTGACCTCGGAAATCCCGCAAAACCTTCGCTTTTGTGAAATGCAGTTCTAGGGTCACCGCATAGATGGCGCCACAATGTCAGTGTGTTCCCTCATTCTAGAAACATTTAAGAAGTAAAGGCCCGTTCACACTCTTGCGACCGAGTACGACTGAGAGAGACGAGATCTCTTAAAACTTCTTAAATGTTTTTAGAATGAGGGAACACACTGGCATTGTGGCGCCATCTATGCGGTGAGCCTGGAACTGCATTTCACAAGAGCGAAGGTTTTGCAGGATTTCCGAGGTCAAATGTGCGTAATACCCATAGAAAGGCTCGGCTATAACATTGACAAAAGTTTTTCGAGCCAAGAAAGAAAGGATAATGCGCGAGAAATAAAAAAAAATATGCCGGACCGCCGAGTTTACACTGCTTCCCAATAGATGGCGCCAGTGTGTTCTCTGGTTTAAGAAGTTTTAAGGAACCCACGTTTAAGAGGTTGCAAGAGTGTGAACGGGCCTTAAGAGATCTCGTCTCTCTCAGTCGTACTCGGTCGCAAGAGTGTGTACGGGCCTTTATGGTATCGTTTCCAGATGTTTGGTTTCGGTATCGCTGCATAATCAAATTGATTGATCCGATTTGGGTGAGGAGTGGATGGACGTAGTTTAATATCGTTGGCACAGCATCACACGTATACCTCAGCGAGCCTCCTGTCCGCTTAGAGCTCAGCTCGTTGCTCTCTTCTGTGAGATGATTGCTGCATAAGCGGGATCTCGATCTTGACAGGAACCTAGTCCCTACGCACGGCGACGATCCACTTCGCTCGACACTGCACATCTCGCGGAAAAGTGTGACACGTCATGTCTTGGCTTGCATGTGCTGCCCGGTGGTTGTGGCACCCAACCGCGCAACAAAAATCTCACCCAACTACGAAAAAAGTCGAGCACAACAACAAAAACGAAGCACGCTGAGGCAGACGAAAATGCTCGCTTTGTGTTTTATGACGTCAGAGCTTCAATGTTGCCAACAAAAACAGCGTTTACGCTAGAATGCGATTAAAGCAGCATAAATTCAATTACTCACGCAGAGGGACATATAAAATTCAGATATTGCGCGTACGATCCGTCTCGAGGCAATAACAATGATATTCAATTGTTTTCTCGGATACAAAATTTGACCGGACAATCCCTTTAAGGTACGTTTATACTCAAACGTAACATCGACGGGCGTGGCGCAGCCCGCACAGATACGGATTGGTCGCAGATATCGAGTTTCTGGTTGCCGGCCAATGAACGGCGCGCGTTCTGCGCTACGCTGCGTTCACTGCGCTCAACGTCGGAGTATAAACAGCCCTTTACTTGCGCGGCTAGAGTTACTTCGTGAGCTGAAGCGCTCGCGCGACCACCTTCGCCGTGATCGCGCGACGTCGTATGTGTCCGTCCCCACGTCGCTACAGATATGGCGCTTTCTAAACTGAAACGCATCGACATTCCTGCTCTTGTTTAAATCATACGCTGCTATAAAGATCCCTCCTTAACTCAATGACTGCTTGGCGAAGTTTTGATTACCTAGGTTTTTCTCGATAAGCTTTCTTTCGAGAGGGACCCCAGTACGTGAGAAATCTGCCGCGAAAGAAAGTTGATGACGAGAAGTGAGCTAAAGCAAAGAAGGCAATGTCTGCACGCTGAACCCGCACACCGCGCTTGTTTGTCTCGAGTTCAGTCGTTGCACAAATTTAAGCGCTCCAAGAACTTTTTTACCCTGATTCGATCGCAATGTCTTGCATCGATACGCTCAGGTTCTTTTTTTCTGTGTGTTTAGCCTGTACCTCGCCTGCCGGCCTGGCAAGCACGCTCCGCTGGACTGTTTATTGTCGTCTGCTGGACAGTTACATTTTGCATACTATTTTGGGAACCAGTTGGCGACGGAGCGGAGTGGCATGGTTTCGGTTTTGATTGAGCAGCCGTTGCTTCCGCGCGCGTGACGAAGCACGTGTAACTGCAAGCCTGCCGAAGTTGCCCTCACGAGGAGGTGAACATGATTGCACGAGAGGCACCAGCCGGGACGCTTGCAATCCATTGTTTTACATTTGCTTACTTTTTATAAAAATCTGCCACGTCTGGAACCAGTAAAACAATAGCAAGTTTTTTTTTTTTTCTTTTTTTTTTTCGGAATTGCTCGGCATTGCCTACAGCACTGTATACTTGTGGGATGTCTCAGCAGCAAACACACAGGCAGTGAGTTCCGCCCCAACACGTCACATCACAACACAACACATAGTGCCCTTCGTTTGTCCAGCACTTAAAACAAATATTTATTTTTCTAAGAATATATTCTCCACAAGTCACTTTTTTAGCTTTGAAACACTGTCTTGGCTGCTCCAAAGGCTACATTTGCTGCTCCAAAACACTGTTTTGGCTGCTCCAAAATGTGCTCCAAAATGGCTTAGACCAATCACATCACTGTAGCCCGCATAATGCTAAATGGAGGCCGAAAACTCCACCTCGCTGTCGCAGCAGTCAGCGTTGTTAGCACAGCTCGAAAGTGGCGTGATGCCGTTGTTCTGTCAACACTAAAAGTACACCAAGTGCAGTGTAGCTCAACCCGAGTTTCAGCTTCATTAGAAAGAAGAGCAGCCGGTTCCCCAGCGTCAAACACAGCTCCGCTCAGGGACAAGGGGCAGCATGCTCAAAAACAAAGCAAATGCACTCATGCTTAAATTTCAAATGCCTTGTAACGAATCCTCTGAATGTTGGACGCCTTCATGACCTCCGAAGAAACTTGTCCTCTCAGCTGGACCTGAATATTTGAAGATACCCATGGCCGGTGCTGTGTCCTAAAGTCGCAAACTTCGCGATGTGTGATTTGTGTGCAACCATCTCCACCTTCGAGGAAGCACGTGTAGGCTGCAAAGCCTCGACTGTAAGTACCGAGATCATCGGTCTGGATGTCCTTAAAGAGCATTTCCTATTTTGCGAATTTAGAGAGGCCAGCCATGAAACGTGCATTGTTTTGGTGCTGAAAGACAGGTGCTCTAAGGGAGCTAAGGCTCTATGTGTGCACTGCGGCGTGTGTTACAATCACCGTACTAATTTTGATCTGCCACAGAATTAGTCTTTCCGCTATTGGCAGTGAGTGGCTGTAACTAGCATCCCGGATTCCCTGACCCCAACTGCGACGGCGCAGGTCAGTCGGCACATATTTTTTTATTATCCGACTAGCTCGGCTTTTGATATGCAGATTTAGTGAATGACATATCACCTGGTTTTCTGATGCTTTCCCGAGTTTCTGTTTCAAAATACCACCTCCCAACAAAAATTAAAAAGAAAAATTGGGTTCGATTTTTGGTCTGGTTATGCAAAACTAAGATATTGATTCCTCTACGACTTTTTGAAGAGCTGGTTATCTTAGCTCGCGTCTCCAGTTTAGCATTGTCCTGACTTCGATGTATTCTGGTTTGTGTCAGATACCTTACTTGAACCGCAATAAACTCACTTACTTTGTTATTATTGGCGAATCTCACTTCGAGTGATCCATTCGACGGAGAGTGCAGTAGCACTTCCCATGATCATAAAAATCATTAAAGCAAAAGCGAAAGAAGTGTCGAAAGCACGAGCCAGGTTTTTTTTTTTTTAAATGCACGGTGTTCTTTACCTTCCGATTGGCTCATACTCGAGTATATTTTTTTATTATTTTTCTACCTTTCGGGGTCTGCATAAAATCAATGCCGGCTCAGACTCAAGTAAATAGCGTACCGAAGCAAAATCGATTTCATAGTACGGCTGTAACCGTAACAAAGCTGCCAGTTTTTCGGTTTGAGTTCCTACTTTTCAGCTTCTGTTGCATTTTGCTGCAATCAAAAGATGGCTGGGAACAAGTCAAAATAACAACCAACTCACCACTGAACACTTCTTCTGAAGTTCTACAGCTTTACGCAGCAGCTCCAATTCCCGTTGTGGGCTTCCACTGCAATCTGAATCATGCTTAGAAAACACTGGGCTGGTTCCACCTGTAGATGGTAATCCTGAAGATCCTGCAGTTGAGGCAGCTGAACATGTTGATCGCTCCCACCACCTGCAAACAAGTATGCACAATCAAATACATATCTGCTAATTTTGCGCTATACACTTCCTATCAGAATACTGAGAATCGCAGGTGTCATGTCACATGTTCAATGCCATAGAAGGACGAAATGAATGCCATGGACTCCCAGTTGGGCGAAAAGGTTCCGTTTACAAGGTACACTTTAAGTGCGACATTGTCATCTTTGGTGTGTCATTAGAGCGATTTGAGAAGTGGTTTGCAGAGAAGGCCTCTAGGCCTCATAGAGGCTTCTTAGAGAGCTCTAGGCCTCTAAAAAGCACTTATTTATGTCAAATTATTTTTAAACACCACCGCCACCCCACCGAGCACCACCCGTGAGGGCAGCTCAAACACCACCACCACCGCCACCGCCACCGCCACCGCCACCACCGGCAAAAGCGCCACCCGCGAGGGCAGCTCAAAAACCACCACCACCACCCCAAGCGCCACCCGCGAGGGCAGCTCAAACACCACCACCACCACCCATATTCTCTGATGACGAAGACGCGGAGTATCTGGTACTCGATAGTTATAGCGCCTCGTCGTCGTCTGCGTCTCCACCACCCATTTCGTCGCCTACCCATCCCGCAGCTAGAAAGAAAAGGGACTCGGAATTGGACGACGCCTCTGACCGCGCAATGTTGTTTACAAACGAAGAATACGGAATGATGGAGTCACCGGCATCGAGCGCTATAGAAACCCCCAGGTATTATGGCGTGACGCCGTTTCACGTTCCGCAATACAATTTTGAACTGGCCGAAAGTAACGCGGACAAGGTGGAAGCCATCAGGCGACAGTTTAGAGAAATCTTGGGCCCTATGACGATCGAGACCTTAAACCATTACACGGTAGATCAGGGTTTTGCCTACAAACTCGAACGCGCCTTTGAAGAACTCGGCGCGTTGCGCCAACGCGAATTCCTCTACAAGGCGCTCGTGGCAGTTAAGCGCATGACCAGGGTGGACGTTGCCTTTCGCAACGTGATCGAGTTTATAAATTTTGTGCTGCGCCGAGACGACTACAGGGTCATGAACGTCGTGTTGAAAGACAACAAAATCGACGTCGAGTGCTACGAACGGGTCGACATCGTGGAGAAGCAAATCTGCAAGCGGCAGTGGCGAGTCGAATTTAAAGAAAAGTATGGACGAGAACCGAGCCTGGCCGAGGAACTGTCCAGAGATCGCGACTTGAACGCTCGAGCGTTGTGTGATGCGGTGATGGATTACGAGGGAGGGCCCTCGATACTACAATTATAAAAATGATGGAATCGGACTCGCAGAAAAAAATATTGAGGAAATTCATCGAGGACTTTGTGATTGGTGAAGACATTTGGGAACACACTGCCGTCGTTTATAAACCATATCAACACCTGTACACGGGCGACGTGTTGCGATACTTGCGGATTCAAACGGCCATCCGAATGATCATGGACGACGAGCAAAAAAACCTACGAGAGCCCTATGAGACGCTCTGTTTGAAAACATATCCACGTTCGTTCGTTTCGAGAGAATGAAGAATAAGCGTCGACGGACCGGCGCCCGCCGGACAAAGAAGACGGGTGAGGGATTTTATTCCCTGACAAAAGTCCCGGACATTAGTAGTCTACCGACAGACATGCGATTGGAAATTGAAAAGTCCTTTACTCCTAATCCGAAATTGAAGACTCAGCTAAATAACCTTCTTCTGAGAAAGGCGATCTTACAATACTGTAAGCAGCGTCAGTACGACATATCGCAGTACCCGACAAACGTTCTGGCCAAACGCTACAAGTTTAGAGAGATACCCCGCGACGTCCGCGAACACTTTGAAAAGGGAGTCGTCACCCACAACTCTGTCACCAAGCACCCGCTTTCGACAACGTTTCGCGAAAACGCCATCGCCGTCAAGGTCTCTTCTTACGTGAACAAACTCAAGAACAAAGAGCGTCTTCCGACGCGCGTTCCAGAAAATGTCGAGGCTCTGTTGAGAGGCATGGCTTTTAACGAGTAAATAAAAATGGTCAAATGTTCCAAGTGCGGTTTCTCGAAACGAACCGCCAGAACAAAGTGTTCGAGATGCAACAGGAACGGTCGTAGACTCGATACGAGAAAGCCGTATCGCCTCGAACATTTCACCAAGGAAGATCAAAGGCGCATTCTCGGCTCCATGCGGGTTAAACGAGGACAGAGTCCAACCTACCTGAAACTTTTATTGGGGAAACTAATTCAGGCCTTTGCTCGCAAACACCGACTGCCGGCGTCATGTCCGATCAATCGAGCCAGGCACGCGCTGATAACTCACGCGATCCTCGACAAGATTCGACCATCGAGTCAAAGAACGAGGAGGAGTCGTAGCAAGAGCGTCGCGCGGCGGAGGACTAGGAGCAGGAGCGGAAGCGTCGCGCGGCGGAGGAGCAGGAGCGGAAGCGTCGCGCGGCGGAGGAGTAGGAGTAGGAGCGTTCTCTCCTCGGGTCGAAGAAGAGGAAGGAAGAGGAGTCGCAGCGTCGGCAACAGGAGGAGCCGTAGCATTTCAATCAACCGAGGCCGACTCGGTCGCAGCGTCAGTGTCGGTAGGCGAACAATGTCCAGAAACGCCAGCAGCGACTCCAAGTACATGTATCCCGTGTAATAAAAAAATGTATCAAGTGCGCGTGGATTATTCTTTCGACCAACTCCCGCCGAGCCTGCTCAGGTTTCTCACGAGCGCTCACGAGGGGTTGCGGTCGGACAAGAACCGTCTCATAAAGCGTGCCAACGACGTGATCAGAGACTTTCAGGTCTTTAAGATGCACAAGCGCAGCGCCCCAATTTTCGTCAATCAATTTCCAGTTCACGTGTTGAATGACATGTACTCGATAGTGCCCGTGCGTAACAAGAAGGGCGACGTCATGTGCGGAAGGGAGTACGCCGAAACGGCCAAGGCTATTCGATCTAACTCGTTCTATCCCGTGTTTAAAGCGAGAAGCGACGGCGCAGCCCTGTTGGAAACCAAAGTCGGTAGGACCACCGGAGATAATCATTCGCCCTACGTTTCGGGAGTCTTGGTGGACGTAAACATTGACAAGATATCTAGCAAGTTTCACGACGTGGTCACCAGCCGCTCGATCAAGGTGGGGCAGTGGATCGACGTGATTCGCGACCCACCGCCGTCCTTTCTGGAAACCATAGTCGTGGCCTACGAGATGGTCGAGCTAGGCGAGTTGTATAGGACAATAAACGGCGACTTTACAAACTTGCCCACGCACGACACGTATTATTCCGACAACATCGTGCACCGAGAGTCTGGTGCAAAGTTTCGTCCAAACGCGCGCGACAACGTGCGAAAGGAATTCAAGTATCGCGTTTCCAATCGCCCCAACTACAGGATCGTGGACGACTCGGAAAAGAGACCGCTGGGTCCGTCCACGGATAGCTTCTTCCATTCGACCGGCGGAGGCCGCTACAAATCGACTCTGCGTACCAGACGGACGGTGTACGAGACAAATAATAATAATAATAATAATGAGCCCAAGTTTCACGGAAATTCGGACGACGACTACGCTGAGCGCAACGTGGATAGCGACGACGACGCTGAAGACGGTGACGACGGTGACGACGACGTCAGTGACGAGATCAGGCGCTACAAGTACAAGAGATACTACACCGAAAGCGATCACATTATGCGAGCTTTGCGCAACGTCTAGTACGTGTCTTTTTTGAAATAAACAAACAATCATTCGAGAGGCTTTATTTTTCTACATACACAAAACGTACGTATATATACGCGCGCCTGCCGAAGCGCGTCGACAAACGTAGAACATGACCGGAGTAGCATCCAGCGTGTCCAATGTGTTTCGCGAGGCCACCAAGTTTGATCAATCGCGAACCTTCGACTGGAGCAGAGTAGTGGCCAACGTTTATTCGGAAGACTCAAATGAGGAAGAGTTTGAACGAGAGAGGGTCGTCCTGTTCTCCGAAATTTGTAAACTTTCTCATGTGTCCGCGAACGCTCTGACCGTTTTGGACCTTGTCGACTATCCGACCTTGGAGGACGCACAATTGTTGTACATTGTTTGTACGTATACGCACCTCAAGACCATACTCCTGAGGAACGCCCCCCTATTGTCAAACTCTGCTCTACAATACTTGGCGACCTACGCTCAATCTCTCGAACATCTTCAAATCAGCAACAACGGTGGCCGTATCAGGAACGAGGGATTGATTCATCTGGCTCCTTTGCGTCGACTCAAGAGTTTGTGTCTGACTGGAATAAGAAACGCCAGTCGAGCTGTCCTTCGAGTGATATTGCAGAACAACGAATCTATATACGCTATCTTGGTGATAACGACGGAACTCTTCGCCTCTAAAGATAACGTGACGCACTTTGTCTTTTGCGCTTCGAATCAGTTGAGTCAGGAAATGTACGATTTTGTTTTTTGTAGCGAAACGTTATCTCCGTTTTCAGATAGCGAGTGAGGGTATATATATATATATGTACTCGCACGTACTACGCTTACAGCAAAGCTAACCCTACCCTCTCCCCCGTCATCACGACACGACACGACTACTACCCTATAACCCAAAGCGACAATGGCTCGACTAGACAGGTCCCCATCTCTCCCGCTGGCCGACACCTGCGTACAAGTGTTCGCTCAGTCCAGAGTGTCAAGCGCGGTGGATTGGAAAACAGTGGTGCTTAGTATATACCACGAAGAAGAGGGCTACGCTTGGGACAACGTGGAAGGGTAAATTCACTGTGCGTATACCGAAATTTCAATATTAAGAAGCTTTCCTACGCACATCACATTCTTGGAGTTGGTGCACTATCCAATGCTGCGAGACCGCCACGTCAGTGATTTGGTTCGTTTCTACCCGAACATCAAGACTTTGCTCCTACGTCACGCACCCGGCTTGACCAACGACTCTGTAAAGTGCTTAGCGGACGGTCTACCTAATTTGACTCACTTGCAGATTGATCGTGCCTAGACCTAGACGACGAAGCCTTGATGTATCTCGCAGAAAAGAGGATCATCGACGTTGGCATACGGAGCCTCTGCATGACCGGACTCGGATTTATACGCCGAGAAACGCTTCACCAATTTCTCAACGTGCATCGAAGACTGACTACTCACCGCTAGAGACGTCCCCAACAAGGACGTCTACCTTGGTGAATACACTTTGTGTATTTCTAGCACAGTGTCTCCGTCACTAAGAAACATTGCGCCAACCGACCTAGACGTTATCGAAGGTGTGGACGGTGTTGTGGGTGACATCGAGTACCAAGACCTCGACAGTGACGACGGTGACGGTGACGACGGCTACAGTGACGACTACGACAGTGACGCCGACGAATATCTCGAATCGGACGACGACAGAATGCTGGGTCCGATCGTCCTAAACACCTTCAACTACGACGAAGGAGAAGACTCAATGGGCGAAGAAGACGACTGAGTTATGCTTGAAAATAAATATTTCGCGTGCTTATATTTTTGAGTCACGAATCGTTCTTTTGCATGCACACTACACTAGTGCCAGTACAAATAGTTTATTTAATGAATTCGATACATTCCACTCACTGCAGATTTACAAAGGCAACACACAGATTGCTCTCTCGAATTGTAAATCATTGGAAATAGACAATTTAAACATAAGGCGGCGTGGGCACAGGGCAAAGTAACTATACACACCGGACAGTTCATGCAGACGACGCAAATCGTCGTGGACGGATCGGACCGCTTCATGGAGATGCTCGTCTTGTCGATGCGCGTGGGATACGGACGTCCTACGCTCAGCGCCGAAAAAGAATCGCTGTTTTCGAGAAAGGACTTTAGCTTGTTCGGACAGGAAAGATCAAACTTGGAAGTGGCCAATGCTGTTATAAAGTCTAGGCTGTATTTGTTTGAGACAAACTCAATGTCCTTGGTATATTCTAGCAACCAAAATAAATCGCTATTTCTATACACGTCGGACACCTCCTTGATGTAGGTTACGCTCGCGCACAATCGAAGATAGGGGCAGCAAGGGTTGTACTTGGCGTGTTCCTCGACTGGGTCGTCGTAGTCGGCTTCCCACGAAAGCAACCGAAGTCCGCAACAAAAGCATTCCACGGTCCGATCGGTCAGGTAATAAAATCCCGCAGATGCCATGTAATCCACGTCAAAGACGTCTTCTTCTTTCGGCCGAGCGTCGAAGGAGGCGAACCTCGCAGTGTAAGTCTGAAACTCGGGCCTAAAGGCAAGCGCTCGTTCGGTCACCACCGCCGAGACATCTGGACTCAGCGTGCGTAGCGGTGCGTCACAGTCGGATTCGTGCAGTCCTTGGGGAAGTGTTTCGTCCGAGGCCACGATAGTAGAGAGTTGAGTCTTTTGCTGGCACATCGAGCAGCTGAGAATCCGCTTCTCCGGATCGTAGGCGAGTCCTGCCATGGCAAAGTCCTTGGGTGTGGGGGTACTGTTGCGCAAAGGCCACGTCGCAAAAGTTTTAAAGTCGGACATCACCTTGGCCACAGTCGGGTCGTGGTCGAACAGTCTCCAGTAGAAAGACATGTTCTTAAGCAAAGTAGACTCTAGAAATAAAGTCGATTTTGAGTCTACGGGCCTTGCAATGTTTGAATAATATGGTGCAGTCGAAACACGACACGCAGTGTCCGCACGGCAAGTAGGCAATGTTAGCCGGAGCCTTCATGCATACGATGCACCTCTTAGTTGATTCGTCTCGTGACTTTATAGCGGAATAGTGCGTATCACAGATCGCGCTATCTATCACAAAGTTACCCCACCTACCGATAGCCTTGTGATCGAACGAAGGAAGGGCGTTCACTGGCTCAAACAGAGTGTGACTGCCCAACGGAGTCGCCTTGCTGCTCCGAATGGCACTCACCATCGCCGATACGTTCAAGGGATGCGTCAGGTTGGCCGTGTACAGAGTACTCATAGTCCTGTTGCGGAACTTTGGGTCCTTGACGAGATCGTCGATCTCGGGAAAGTGAGACGCCCAGTACATCTCGCTCCTGTAAAACTTTTCGACTGCATCGTGCACGTAGTAATAGGTCTTGTTCACTCGTAGAAACACGCAATTGGGGGACCTGCGGGCGTGTAGCAGCCACGGATCGTCTTCTTCGCAGTCGAGGATCGAAAATACTTGCACCCCGCAGTAGAAACAAACGAATATGCGGGTCACTATCTGTTCGCGGGAGAGGTAGCCCTGCTCGTCGTCGTGCGAGCAGAAAAAGCCGGCCTTGGCGAACGCAGGGCCTCGAACATCGTGAAAGGTCTTGGCTCGAATCTTCTCGTCGACGTATCTCTTGTAGACCGGGTGAGAGTAGCTCGGCAAGACGGACACGACCCTTGCTACGTTCAGCCGCGGGTCTCTGTACTGCTCGAGAAACTTGCACGGCATTCGGCGGTGAAGGTCCATCGGGTGAAACGTGAGCGTCTCCCAGTCCTGTTCGGCGACTTGAAATTTGCAGTGCCGACAGTAGATGTGTTTCCGGTCAGCGCAATATTCTAGGCCGGCATAGGCAAAGTCTCGAGGCGTGGCTCTGGTGCGAAGTCGCCATTCGGCGAACGTCTTGAAGCGACGCACGACTTCCTTGCTTATGGGATCCGTAACGAGGTGCGCCATAGCGACGATAATGAGAGGAGCCCTCTACTCGGTGCGCAATATATATTCTCTCCATATCTAGGTTCACCTCGACTGGGAGCGGAGTCGACCTCCCATAGGCGGTAGCAATTTTGTTTATTATAAAAATGTCTGTCGCAGAAAATTTTTTAGACCTGTTGAAAAAGGGACGATGTCAACACTCGGTGAATCACGAAGACGCCACCGATATTTTATTACCCGTATTCCGGCAGCGGGGAAATCAAAACGTGTCTTACAGGAGAGATGGCGATAAATACGTGCCCACGCTCCCGAACGACACGTCGACCTTACTCGGCTACTCGTCCAAGAAACTCATGCAGCACATTACCAAGGCGCGCACGACGCTCCTGACCAACGGAGATGTGGAACCGGTTGCAGATATGCTCTTTCGCGTTTTCGAGCTCGGTAGTAACATACTGATGACGGTCGACAAGGATCAGATGGCCATCCAAACGCTCCTGAATGACAATACAGTATTTCACTGCGTAATGGGAATCGAATACGTACGAAACAGTCTCAACATACTTAGGAAAACCTCTTCCTCGTCGACCACTCAGCGCGTCATCAGGGATCTGAAGCCGTTCGTGGACGCGTACGCTACTGCCATTCTGCGCCTGCTACTCCTCTACATCGAAGGGATATTTTCCCATGCGCGCGAGGCGACTCGCGGTATGGCGGTGGGCGCAAGTACGGCAGCCAAGATTACGGCGGTCATGCTAGTATCCCTGTGCAACTACGCGGCGGTGCGCGTAAAGTGCAACCCCATCTTTCAGTTTGAGAGCGCCATGGGCCACAACTGGCTCGACGTGGCCAACGGTCTCAGCCTCGTGCACAGGATCACGCAGCCACACACCGTCAACGAAAACATTGTCGGGGCCATTCGCGTAAAGTTTTCGCAAAACAACAAGCCACAGGACGTCATCAACCTCCTGGTCGAAGAGAGCAACAGGTTGTACACGAGTAACGTCGAGAACGGAGTGTACCGCTGCGACACCGACTACATGACGCTCCGGACCGTCATGCCGGCCGAGCGGGTCACGGACGACGTCAACATCATCGATCCGGCCATCTCTACGACGCTGCGTGACCACAACGAGCTCATCATGAAGAGTTCCGACACGATCCCCGTGCCGCGTACCAACCACTACGTGCTAGCCCTGCAGAAGGAGAAGGCGCCGGCCACCGAGGTGTCGGTCCTTAACATCGCCTCCATCATAGAACAGTGCATGAGCAACGGGCGCGTGGACTCTCGCTTCGTCGAAGTGCACAAACAGTCGGACCAGGGCACGCAGGAGCACAACAAATTTTACAGCCAGGCCTGTTGCGTCTCGCCCCGTAACCTCGGTCTGTTTCTACAGTGCCTAAACTTTGAGATGATGGACTCGGACATGTTTGGGGCCACCTTACAGTGCCTCAAGATGACCAAGGGCATACCCACTCCGCGCCAGGAAGAAATTGCCACCTACTCAAACACGGCGCTATTTCGGATGGCCACCAACCTGTTTTATCACACGCGTTTCTGCAGGAGCTACCGCGGCGAAAACACCTACCTGTACGACTCGCGCTTCTTTAACGACTTTCTACTCTGGGTCCAGTCGCCCAACTGTCTGGAACACCACATCTCGCCTAGCGTGTCGTCGTCCATCATCTCGTGGTGCACGTCCATGTCTACTGCCATGCACACTACGCGCGACGCCAACGGAGCGAAGTGCGCCATGGCGGCCATATCCACGTGCGAGGTGGACCAACGCGTACTAGCCGACTTTTTGAACATGTTCATCAAGCTCTTTATCGAGGACGAGACCGAGATTAGCGTCATCAACAAGAAATTTCTCGAGAAGGAACTACTCGAGGCTTTTGCCTCCGTGTCTAATTGCTACAACCTGTTTAGGGGGCAGTTTGTTTCGGCGACGGCCTTGCGCCTCTTCCTAGCCCGTTGTAGGTGGTCCGTGGCCGACGACGTGGAAGTCATCGTTCCGGTCGAAACAAAGTTTCTCAACAGACTGATATGCGACAGCGACGACCTGTTGTCCAACTCGATGCGAGACAAGCCCCGTAAAACCATGGAAGACGTCTCCACGATGATGGCGCCGCTACTCTCCAATCCATCCACGTCCGCGCCTCACAGCAAGGACGACGACAGCAACGTGCCCATATGCATTTGAAATAAATAACCGCCAACGCCCCCATATACATTAACAAAAAGGTTCGGTGACTGATTTGAACGATCGAGGGAGTAAAATGTTGAAACAGGTCACGTTCGTCGATATCTTTTCGCAACAAAAAATGAGGACCCTGCGAGACTATCTCCATTGCGAACTGGACCTTTCGGTATCGATACCCTATAAAATCTGGATCGCTATCGCAAATTTCTTTATTCAAAACAACGTCCCATCGGTCGTAGAGGGAGCAGAGTGTTGTCAGAAAGACAGCTCGTCGTCCAACTATCTACTCGTCTTTTCATACAGGGACAAGGACGCCAACCGAGTGGTGGTGGACTGCATAAACTTCATCAACGTGCTGCGCGATCTCAAGGTGCACGACGTGATATGCACCAAGCACTACGTCTACCTCTACGTCCGTCACTCGTCGGCGCATCACAACGTGCATGCAATTCTACCCTTTCTCCACCACGTTCTGCAAAGCTATGTAAACGACAAGACGACCACTTTGCCACTCGATTACACTTTCGATCCCCTGGAAGAACAAGAATCCTTCTTCGACGTGATTCCAGTCACGTACCACGGCACCTACGAGGTGACCACCTCTCTACCGGCGCTCGTGGCCAAAATCAAACCCAAGGAAGACGGACAGTATGTGTCAGATCGCCTTTATTGCGAGAAGCATTGGATGTGTCTACACAATCTGGTCGTCTTGAGGCTCGTCGACTGTTTCTACTACATCACTATACAGAAATTGCAGATATTAAAAGATGTTACAAAGTCAAACATTACGTCCACCAACGACTATGGCATTTACAAAGTGTCGTATTACAAGAAGTGACTCGCTTTCGCTTGTGTTTGTCTGCTTTGCCTAAAATAAACGCTTACGCTAGCTTGCACGCTGCTATACATCTGTATCTCTATATGTGTGCGTCTGTGTGTGTGTGTGTCCAAACAAACGTTCTTTTATTCACAACATGTCGTTGTAAATGGCGTCGAAACTAGGAAATCGAAGGTTGCTCAGTCGCCGCTTGTTCTTCTTATAGGCCCGTCTGATGAGGCTAGTGGTGAACGTGCGAGACCAGTCGCTGCTCTGTCTAAAGATGCACAAGACGCGTCGTAGATCCATCGTCTTGATGCAGGGACACAGACAGCGGGTCTCGTACCACTTGTAGACGGCAGCAAGGGCTTCCACGTCCGACCAATTGTCGTAGTCGTCATCAAACTCCATAGCACCCATCATGTAGAGCGCCGAAAGCGCCTTGATGGCGCTGGAAACCGCAAGGTGTTCGCCGCTAGATTCGATAACGTAAGCTCGTATGTCCACCGCAGATTCCAACGCGTCGCTGGCCTTTAGGGCCCTTATGACGCTCGCAACGTCGGCGAGACTCACGCGGCACGCCTTGTTCTGCCCCATGGTCGTGATCGGTCGCGTGACGAAAGCGTTTGTTGTCGCGTCCCTCTCTACCACGCGGTCTTCGTACACAAACTCTACGGGCTTTACGTACCACGCTAGCCGGTCCTGCTGCGTGGTGTAGAGCGCGGTGTACTGAAGCAGCTTCAGGTATTTCGTGACAATCTCCTCTACTTTCTGCCGACGCTCGTTCGCCTTGGGCCAGTCCTTGGACATTGCGGCCGCTCGCCTCCGCGTAGTGGACCCTTCCATAGGTGCCGCGGCATCGACCGCCGCCAGTAAAATGTCAAAGAAGCTAGTCTCCTTCGTTGCGGCGTTCATCATTGCGCGAAACAGGTCCACCTTCTTGCCGTCCACCTTTTTAGATGAGCTTATCATAAACGGGAGCATCTCGTAGCCGCCGTACAGCAAGATTGGCACCACAAACGACAGCGGGTGAAGATCGGAACTACTGACGCGTACAGCGCGAGTAAAGAAATCGTCCTTGATGTGGTAGTAACCCGCCTGACGACTGGGAAGAGACTTGTCCAGCAGAGACACGGCGTGTTGCACGCCGCCAAACTCGAACCTGTGTTCGTCCTGTCGCTTCTTACTCTCGCTGTACTGGCGGGCCGAATACACGTAGACGTCTCGCGAGGGTATCTTTTCCACGACCGCAGCTACCCCGAGGAGAATGTCCGAATCGTCGGTGACAACGACGGACACGTCCCAGCGCTCGTCGTTTGGCGGCGGCCACATTAAAGAGTCCACGACCTTGACGTCGCCTTCCCCCACGTAGAACGGCGGCAGGATCGTAAAGGACGAGAGTTGGTACGCTGCAGCCGACTCGTTCGAGTAGCCGTCAATCACCTCTTTGGCGTAGAGTGGGTTCTCGAGAAGCGTGGCATATTCCCTGACGTGCTGCATCACGTCCGAGGCCGCGGTCAATCGGCAGATTGTGGCCATGGCGTCTTTGCCGTAGCGTGCCAAGTTTTTGAGCCTTCCGTTCAGGACAGACTGCAGTCTCGAATTTTCGATGGTCCGAACTCGCTTGGTGTCCTCGCCAGACGAGTTTTTGATGACGTTGGCCAGCTCTCTACTGCGACGCTTGTACTGCTCGGGCCACTTTACCGTCGGCGACATTCCGTCAAACACCACCACCACGTCAACTTCCACACGCCTGTTTAGGGACAGCCCCTTGACGACCCTCTTGACCGTCCTAGATATGCAATGAAACACCGTCGTGAAGAAGGCGTCGTATCGGATGCAGCGTTCGCCCGGTCTCGCCTCGTACTCCTTGTCCCAGTCCAAATCTCGAAGAACAAACGCGTCGTCTTCGATATAGTCTTCGACGTAATCGCCAACCAGATCTCCGTTGGTCTCGCCAACGTAGTGTTTGATAATCTCGAGGTTCAAGGCTTCCCACGCTCGCTCTCGTTCCTCTCGGTCGGCGATCGCTCGTGCGGCATCGATCTTGTCCGCAAACGTCTTGAGATGGTGGTCCGTCAGCGAGTGCTTGCAGTGGTGTAGAAAAATGTTACCGTCGACGACGACTTGAATGCGCGCCGACTCTCCGATCACGAACGAAGACGTCACGCTCTCATAGTCGAAGTGACGCGCAGACGGCGTAGGCGAAAAATACGTCCGCAAAACGAGGTTCGTGGCCGTCTCGACGTTACTGCCGGGGTCGTCCAAGAGCTGTAACTGAGACTCGAGTAACGGTGCCAGTTCCTCCTCGACGGCGCGGTTGCAAACTGCGTTGAGTGTATTCCAAAGATTTCGGATACCCATGGTGTCAATACGTTTATTGTGTGTGTAGAAGGGCGACGCTTAAGTACTCTCATCACACAAGGTCACGCCAAATAATGGAGGTTGTGTTTTTTTTTATTGGACGAGAAAGTGATACAGTATGCGTAATCCCTCTACCTGGGTGAAGGGCATCGGGTGACCTCCACTCGAGTGGGTAAAGTAACGCCCGCTCCCCTTGTTTAGATAGAGGAAGGGCTCTTGTAAAATGAACTTGAGGGGACAGAAGCGCTTGTTTGTTTCGGGATCGAGATCAGTGGAGAGCACAATCGAGTTGTCAAAGCCAGGTAGTTCGAGGGTGCTGCCTGTGGGTACGTGCGTGTATGCCGTTTTGCTCGGCACAAAGCTGACGATCGGCTCGTTGGTTATGTTGTTGATCAGAGACGGAATCGCGGCAAGACCCCTGTTTATTCTCTCTTCCCAGTCGCTGTGTTGGAAGAGGACGTTGTCCACGGTGCGCAGCACGTCTAGTAGCCGAATCTTTTTCGTTGCCGTCATGGCGTTGGCAATCACGCTCGGAATTCCTATCGTCTCGCACAGTCGGGGTAGTATGGTCTTGACGGTCGACTCGACGCTCTCGACAATTTTCTCCACCACGTCCTCTTGCAGGCCGGAAGCCTTGAGGCAACCCACGCCGCCACTCGCGATGCCGCCGCCGCGCTTCTTTCTCACGGTTCCGTCCAGGTAGACCATGACGGACGACGTCTTGACGTTGTTGATGTCGTTGACCACGTCGGAGATGGTGGGTTGCCGCACGCCCAGAAGGACCTCCTTCTTCTTTAGCGAACGGAGCTCGGCCGTGGCCACGCCGCGCGGAACGTAGAGGCACGAGTCGTAGGCAAACTTGTACGCGTTGCGGATGGCGGCGGCCGTAAACAGGTAGTCTCCGTTGTAGGCAGAACTAAATAACTCCAGGTTGTACATGGCGCGCACGCTCAGGGCTACGGGCTCTTCGCCGACGCCACCCGTTCCGCCAAAGGGCAGATTCGTGACTGTGCTTGCCAGCATTGTTATTGCGTCTGCATTCAACCAGCCCGCCTGATAGGTCTGACTCGAAAAGATTGTCTTCTCGTCGCTCCAGTCGCCTTCCACGTAATCGTTGTACGCCGGGACGTTTTTGAGAAACACGTAGGACCAGAACATGGGGTAGCGTTCCACGAGCTTGGGGTGATTCCTAACCAAATACGTGACGTGATCGTACGGATCAATCACCGATTTGTACTGGTCGTATAGGACGCGCCCGACAAAAGCCAAGTCTGCGCTCTCGTTGGTGTAGGCCGCCCTGCGTGGAATGAGGATCTCGATGGGCAGTACGGATCTCTGGTCCGAGACGCAGACGCGGACGTTATCGACGCTAAGGATCCAGGGAAAGGTTCTGCCCAAAACCTCGTAAACGTGTTTTCTAAAGAGACGTTCGCTACCGGCTCGATGGTCGCTCGCGGAAGTCACCGCGTTCCGGAGAGTGAGACTGTCGTAAATGTCGGATCGCTTGTTCTTGTCGGTGTTTTTCCAGAAATATGCCAGCATCATGTCGTAGACTATGGTCGCATTAGATGCTACGTTTCTTTGGTCGGGTGTCGTCAGTGGGACGGTGTCTAGTCTGTGGTTCGTACTAGTACTACTACTAGTAGTAGCAGTAGTAGTACTAGTAGTTGCAGTAGTAGTAATAGTGGTCATGGGAGCCGTAGTTGTATGCACAGTCGTATTGAAAGGGGGAGTTGCGGCCGTGGTGGTGCTGTGGGGATTGTTGTAATTGTCGATTCGCGAAGAAGGCAGGAATGCACTCCTAAACATGTCCATTTTT